CCTTCCCTTCCCTTCCCTTCCCTTCCCTTCCCTTCCCTTCCCTCAGTCAGTCAGCAGGTTCACCATTTAGAACTTGTGCAGCTCATCACAAGTCCCTGAACCAAGAGGGAGAAGTGTTTCGGTTGCGGTGGCTTCCACTACCCACCCCCGACTGCACTTCCCCTCCTCTCGTCCAGCTCCCACTTCCCCCAGAGGAGAGCAACGGTGCACCCTGTGCTCAGGAAGCTGGAAAAGCGGGAGTCACCATTTATGGGATCTATTCGTTTTGATGGGGGATGTCAAAATGCAGGCTTCAGTTCAGTGTTTCAAAGGGCTAAACAGGGTGTGTTTGTTTGCTTAACAGGGCTCTCTACATATGCGTATGCAACGACCCCTGTCCGAAACCTGACTGGGCCTTTCCAAAAGCTTGTTTTAAAAGGAAGCCTGAGTTTTGACGGGCTGTCAGAACTCTGCTCTCACGAGTGGGGTGGCCCACCCTTGTCCCATTTTCCAGGTGACTCAAGTGTCAAGAAAGGGTAGAGAACCTGCGAGCTACTGCAAACAGTCATTTGAACCTACATAACTGGGGGACTATGCTGCAAAGCAAGCGATCACCCTGCAATTTTTGGGCATCAAACATTGTTTTAAAAAATGTGCTACATGGGCATTTCAGAGAGGCTGTCACAAACCCTCACCTCAGAGTTCACCCAAGTGGGGGAAACAAGGAAGCAAGGGAAGCAAGCAGAAAGTGTTTGTGATCACAAGGAGGAGAGGAGGCAAGCTGACTTTAGCCACACCTGGGAAGGAGAGGACAACCCCTGGTGATCACAACCGCCCACTGGATTTTTATTTTGTTTGTTTGCTTTTTCGTGATTTGCGGGATGCCTTACTGTGACATGCCATCGTGCCGAGTGTTTGTTTTGCCCATATTTAAAGTTGTGACTTGACACTGTACATAGGTCCTGTATTCCGCCTAATGCTTCAGTGGGCTGAATTCCTGTAATATATGTTTTGTATGAGATGCAAGTATGATGTTGGTTATGGTAGTGTATATTTGAATTAAAGTCTCCATTGTAGGAAACAAAAATTCAAATATCCAAGCATAGAAATAAAATATGTACATTGAGAAAAGTTAATACATGTGTGTCGCTTCTTTAGGGCAACAGAGATGTTATCTGAGTAATTTCTTTGGGATTCAAAATTTGAATTGCAATGTAAACTTGCATTTTGTGGAAGATAAGAGACATCCTAAATGGACTCTGTGGTCAACCTCTTTTGGTCTGAAGAGGACTCCCCCCACCCCCACATTACTGCTTTATAAAGGACTGGGGCAAGCACATGCCAAAGATGCACCCAGTTGGCCTTCTAGGCCCCTATAAGCCAGCTTTCTCCAAACTGATGCCCACCAGCTGTGCTAGCTTGCAACCCTCATCATTCCCAATGACCGTGGGCGTTGTCGTCCAACAGAACTGTAGGGCACCAGGCTGGGGAAGGCTGAGCTAGGACCTAACGATGAGCAGGGGGCTTCAGAACCTTCTCCCGTTTGTTTTTAATGCATGTCTTGAAATGTATTCCCCTCTTGCCTGCTCTTCTCTGACTCACCAAGCTATTTTTAACCAGGCAGGAAATGAGCATCTTGAGAATTTTTCTCCACAGACCAGAACGGCAGGAACCAACACAATTACAGGATGAAGAAGTGTCAGCCTGGATTTAAAGCCCCCACCTCAATCAATTCTCCCCCACCCGCCCCTTACATGGCCTGACCGATTTGGCCTGCCTTAGAACAGGAACTCTGGGCTCAGCAGGGGGCCAGACTCAACGAGCAACTTCCCCATCTTACTTGCAACTTTACATATCTTCCAATTTGTCTGCATGCCCGAAGTCTCGCTTGCCGGATTCATTGCCCCTACCCTAGCCGGCCTGAAGCCAGTGCATTAACCAACTGGTCGGACTGGTCTCCTTTTACACAACAGCAACAAGCAGCTCGAGAGAGACTCATGGTGCGATGAGTGCATTTGCACCTCGGGAACGCTGGTTCAGCATCGGCACCTGACGTGGGGCAGCAAAGGCCGGGCCCGTGGGCCACAGGGAGCCCATCGCTCCTTCTTGAAAGGGAAGGTGGTCTGAGGAGAAATGCTGGTCAAGGGAATGCAGAATTTCCCCAGAATGACTCTGGGCTTCAGGGTTGGGGCAGTCAAGCTAGTGGTGTGGGGCTGACCGGAAAGATAAAAATACCCCAAAAGTCAAGCACAAATCCATGAGTGTTAATTTACCTAAGCACTAATCTCTCTCTCTCTCTCCGTGTGTGTGTGTTTAAAGGACCCTTTCTCCTAAGGATACCCTTATCTGAAGAAAGGACTGTATAAACAGGGGAGAAGATGGCATTTGATTCCAGAAAAAAACTCAGAAAGATTCAAGAAGGGGTGGGGGGCAGCCAGGGGAGAAGCACCCATGGGCACACATTGGCAGATCCAGAGGCGATCAGGCGCAACAGGCAGGATCAGGCCCCTGTTCCTTTATTTCAGCAAGTGCCCGTGGACAGCAGGGGGATGGAGCAGATGCCCTGCCAAAGATTTGGGGCCGCAGCTACAGGGCGCTGCCCCCTAAGACTCCCTCTGCCCAGCTGCTTCTCCTGGGACTTCTCCTTTCAGTGCTGGGCTACCCACCCTCTGCCCTGTATCCTCACTACACCGGTCCCGGAGAATTCATGGGGGGCAGGCAGGATAGTGCTGGGGGGTGGGTGGAGAAACCCTTTTCAGGCTCCCTCCAATCTGCTGCTGCCTCTGATCGGAGAGCTGCAACAGAAGCACCTTCAGAGCAATTTACTCTCTGGACAGGTGGCTGAGGAGAAACAAAACTAAAGCCCTTTGGCGGAATACCAAGCATGGCTCCGGGGGGGGGGGGGGCAGGGTCTAAGCTCCCCCTCCCAAACTTTCACTGGGCAAATCAGAACCTTGCCCCTTAAAAATGACAGGGACAGTAGCATCCAGGTGAGCTAAAACTGTGCAGATAGTCCTGCTCTTCTGGTCTCCTAGTCTGATTTGGTTGGCTCCCAACACACGGAAGCCGCAGAGGGAAAACGATGGCGAATGTTGATTTGATGAGAGAAGCACATGGGTGCCCCATAAGAAGTGAAGGCAGGCACTGCCGTGATCTTTAGAGTAACCGCCCAGTGAGGTGGCATCTCAGGAAGGAAACAAGGTAGGGGCAGCCTAGAGAGGGTCGCATGGTTTATGAGCCAATAATGCCTTTGTTCTTTGGGATAAATACATACAGTGCGTTATCTCTAATTGGGGTTACTCCGGTGAGGGGATGGTTTCTGATCTACTGGAGTCTGACATCAGTGGGTCTTTTAGAACAGTAATTGGAAGCAGCCCAAGAGGAGGAATTCTGAAATTACCTTCCTTCCTCATGCTGCTGGTGGAAGCTTCTGCTGGACCAAAGCGCATTCTTGTAGCAGAGTGATACCAACTGGATGCAGTCTAAGGAGAGGGTTTCTCCTAGGGTGCATTATCAGAACAAGGTCCTCCATCAAGTGGCAGACTGCATAGCACTTGATATCCAGGCCCATGCATTCCTATCGACCTCACAGGGATTTAACTAAAGGGCACCCAGGGAAGGAGGCAGAAACCCAAAGAGCGACAAGTCCAGCATACAGTCACAGGGCCTGAAAGGCACTCCAGCCTAAACACAACATAGGACCAGTGCTTTCCTTCCAGTGAGGTGCCAAAAGACTAGCAGCGCCTGTTCAAGGAGGACGTGGTCAATCGAAGTACAGAAGGCTCAGTGGAGACACACCAGGAGACAAGATGGTTTGGAAGCATCCTATGTGGGCTTGCAGAGAGGAGGGCCGGGGGAACGGCAGCATGAGGCCTCCGTTTGTGCCAGGCAGCCAACGCACGCTAGAGCAGGCTTCTCAGGGGTCCCCTGATCCTGTGAACGGCATCTGCCACGGCTGCCAATTATTTGAAAATCAAGCCAGAATTTTTGTTGGCGGCAAAGATGACAAAACGGAGGCTGTGGTGCCTCAGGCACAGCATGCGAAGGCAGGGCTCAATGGGGAAGACAACGGTACGAGCGAAAGCCACAGCAGAAGAGGAGACAGACCAGCTGTGGACTGGTGCCATAAAGGAAGCCGCAGCACCGAGTCCCGCGAGTCGGGCAGGGCTGCCAAGGACAAGGCATTTGGAAGGGCATTCACCATAAGCCAGAGGTGATTTGATGGCATGTCACAACCATGGAAATGTGATCTCTACCTTTTAAAAAAGAGCCGCATTGCATGATGGAATAGACTCACAGTGTAATCCTATATACGTCTACTCGGAAGTACTCGCTACACAGAAACAAGTTCAATAGCATGTACCCCTCAGTGGAACAGGATTGCCGTGTTAGAGTGTTTCAAAGTCATCTACAAAAGTGGTCTTTGAATGCTGCTTCTGTGTTTGTGGTTCTGGAGACAGGGGCGGTTTGTGCCTTTCTCTTGTACGCTTCCTTCCTCATTTGGCCGTCAACATGAAATGGCTCCTTCATTTGGATCCAATTAGCTACATATCTCCCATAGCCCAGATCATGGATCTAAATGAAATTACCTGGAGAGTATACAGATTGTAGCTTTATTTGCTCTGGCTGCAAGAAAACCTGAGCCAATTTTATCTTAGGACAGCGACATTAGCAAGGCGACTGTATTGATCATTTGATTGCTTTTCATGGTGAATGTATGTGGTGTCCTTGTATTTCATTTCTGAGATGTCCTGGTCTTTTGCCTGAGCCTCAACAAATCAGAGGGGAATTGAAGTGAGAAAGAAGGCAAAGCATTAATGGCTGGGATAATTTGTCCAGACTCCGTGGCTCATTTAGAGATTGAGCAGAGATTGGCTGGCAGTCACATGGCCCCTGCCTGCAATGCAGCAGGATTTGTGCTGTGTCATCCAGGTGCAAAAGCTGATCCCTGCCCCGAGTTAAGAACGTGAAAGTGGAGGTCAGCTGAAATGCACCCAAGCAAGAGCCAAGAGGATGCTAGTTTTGCCTGTCTGTTAAGACACTCAGTGCTGGGGTGGATCAGCTACTCTGAAAAAGGAAGGTGCAGGCACTGGGGACAACGACAGTCCCATCCTATCAACTTAGGGCACAATCCTATGGCCTCTTGGTGCCATCTGAGAAGCCAGAGGCAAGATTCTTTGGTGTTTCAGCCCTGAGGTTCTGCAGTCTTAGAGCTGGGACTCCAAAGGCCAACCCCAGCTCTGGCCCAAGCAACCCACTTGGAAAGACACCCCCCTCAATTGTTGTCAATGGGGCGTACCCTCATTTCCCCTTCCCCACTGTGGTCTTCCATGAAACAGGTTTTGCAGGCTTGGAAAGTGCAATCCCAAACTGCAGCACATGCCCTTTGCATTGTATCTCATGAGTGCTCTGTACTCAGCCAGACCTTCCCTTTGTATGTGTGAAGGTGCTTTCTTGTATGCAGGAAGATGCGGCTTCTACTGATGTATAATCAGGAAGCTGTATACAAAGATGACTGAGTGTTCTCAACACAAGTGAACAGTGCACACACCTCACAAATGCCTCAAATCTTGTGGGTCAGCCAACTGCAAAGGCATAGTTTAAAACAAATCTCTACCCACACACTCTTTTTTTTAACACAAACACAACGTCATACAGACATGACCTCTAGGAAGCCATTTTTCCAGAAGGCCCTTGTTCAGCTCTGGGATTTGCTAAGGGAAGATGTGGTGATGCTCCCGATTGGGATGGCTTTAAACAGGGATTAGAAAAATGGGCAGATGACAAAACACCCGTGGCTCCTAGTGGGCTCTCACATTGCCTCCGAGCATCTGTTGCAGGAGCTGTGAAAAGGGGTTTGCTGAGATATTGTCCCGCGTACCAGCTTCCCAAGAGCATCCACTTGGTTACTGTGGGCAACAGGATACTGCCTAGACAAGCCTTTGCTCTGACCTTGCAGGACTCTTCTTATAAGAAGCTATGTCTAATTGGCTGTTTGCTTAGGTAAGAATCCTCCACTAGTACACTGAACACTGTTCAACGGATGTGTTGAGAATACCTGCGGAAGCTGGAGACTCCAATGTCAGTGGGGCAATGCATCCACTCTGTGTTTTAGTCTGAATTTTAAGGAGCTGTCCAAAGTACTGAAGCCTTTCTGGAGGATTCTGCACCAGGGATAGCTCTCATGCTCTTCTGACTGCAGGTTAGGATGGATTCAAGGCCTCACGGCCATTGGTGTCATGAGTTTCCATTGCAAACCTCCGAAACAGAATGTAGAGTTAAAGACACTGCAAAAGCTAATACATTCTTTGGGTACCTGCTCTGCTTCAGACACGGCATTTTTATGGATTGCTCTCTGTCACATTGTCCCTAATTTTAAAAGTAGAACTTGTACCTTCCTTTTCATTCTGTTGCATCAGGACTGTGGCACTTAGCAGTTTAAGATGGAGAAGGAAAGTCTTAAAGATAGAAAAAGTGTTTTAGGTGGGTTTCTTCAAAGATGTTCTTCTGAAAATTTGTCCTGCCTAGAGGAAAAGGTCACGGACAGCAGCTGTGCCTTGCATCAGAACCATAATGAAGAGCAAACATGAACAAACTCCATGCATTTCATAATAAGCTGGAGATATGTCCACCCATCTTGCTATAGTACAGGGATCCACAGGAAAACATTTATGAAAATATAAAAGCTTGACTTTTTTCCTTATCAGGAAAATATCTATTAAATAAGATAAGACAAAATAGCTACACCATGCCTTTTGCTTCCTGGGGCCAGCTGCACTCCATCCGGAAGCTAAGCATAGTACTTCAAGGATCAGTCAGAGCGAAGTGCATTTTTCCAGTAAAAAATAATTCCAAGTAAGCATGTGGCAGATTGCAACCAAGAAGAGACAATTTCATGTTTTAATTTAAGGCTAGAACCACATGTCATAAGCTAAGCAGAGCATTTTTCTGATTCTTATTTACCTGCTAGTGGTGATCTGAGGAGGCATTCATAGGGTGGTAAAATGAATTTCACCCCACAGGTAACAGGAGAAAATCGGTCCTTGCAAAGAGATTGTGTTTTCCCTCTGCCCAAGTTCTGGAGATGCTCAAAATTGAGTTCAGGATTTTCTCACCTCAGCCAGAAAGTACAGAGTACTCTTTGCACTTACTTGTCTCCGGGATTTTCCTAAGGGATGCATGCTAGGAACTGCACTAGTTTGACATCTCTGCCGGAGGCATTTATTGGGTGTGCCTGAAGCCCCACTTGTGGGAGTTTGAGAACGTAAGAGAAGAGAAGCCATACTGCATCCAGCCAGTCCTCCATCCAGTCCGGCACTCGGTTCCCACAGTGGCAAACTGGCTGCCCGCAGGATACCTCACGCAGGATGGACACGGGAGTCCTGCCGAAATGCCTCACCAATGGTGCATGCAGGCAAGCCCTCTCCAATCATGGGGGTGCCTCCATGGTGCCCACCCTCCAGCTCCTCTCCTGTGCTCTCTAGAACATTTGCTCATCACCTGAGCTCTGAGACCAGAAATAGATCTGACCTGAGGGGGGAGATGGCCACAGGGGATGGGAATGGGGCGAAGATGGCAGGGAGGAAAGTTAAGCGTCTGCTGATGTCCCCTGGAAATGCCCATCCGCCATATTCGCATAGTGAATATAAGTATCGGGAACCAATATTTCCTGAGGGAAACCATGGCTCCCGCCTCAAGTTAGGGCAATGCTGAATGGACCCACCTACCTTTTTTACAACCCCAGTGGTAGTTACAATGGTTTCTGCTCCTTCTACCGTCTGCTTTGCCACCGTGTTCACACTGGCCACCACAGATTCACCCACCAGGTTGGCCTGCTCTTTGGTCTTTTCGGCAACTATAAATTAAACAGAAATAAGTCAAACTGATGAGTTGTGGTGAACCCCTTTTCACTTGTGCGGTATAACAACGTTTCCATTGCAAGAACTCCCTGGAGTATCCCTTGACGTGAGTACAACAGGATAATTTTTGATGGCTTCAGGGCCTAGTTATCACTGAGGTAATAAGCCCAGTTTCTGAATTGTACCACTGTTGGTGGAGAAACATATAAACGAATAACCCCGCGCATAGAAAACTGACCATTGAGGATAAAGCTGTTCTAGGACTCTTCCCACCAACACAAATGTTTTCTATGTACAAGGATTTCTTTATTTTTCTTTAATGGTGGCTCCATTCAAATGTGTAACGCAAGCCCTCCAGCATAGTTCAGTCTTGAGTTGATCGCATCATTCTTTAATGTGAAATCTCAGGTCCAGTATCATTTTATCCCTTAACAACAGAATCTTAAATAACACAATCTTTAAAACACCTCAGCGGGCAGCCATTGGCTTAGTTCTGCTGTTCCCAGCACCAAGGCAGCAGGATTGTCTAGCAGTGACTGAGCCAACTTTCCCCACCCCGGTGCCCTTCAGATATTTTGGACAACAACTTCCACAGGTCCAGCCAGTGTGGCCAAAGCTCCTAGGTGATGGGAGTTCTGGTCCAATGGTTGACCAATGGCGGCACTTCTCTTTGCCTGAAGGCTGAGGCAAGGACATGGCTACCACAGGGGTTCTGAGGTAAAGTTGCTTCTAGCTGCTTTAGGAACCAAGACCTTCAACGGCTTCTAGGAAGCTTGAACCAAGGCATGGCTTCCCCATTCCCGGTCAGTGTGATCCTAGAACCCTTAACATATAGGGGAATAGAGAATTATTTGAACCCCCAGACCCAAGGTCAGCAAAGAGCTCTGCTCTCAGAGATGGGGACTCACACCCAGGACCCTCTCCCTTTCGCAGAAAGCTGCTTCTTAATGGTTGAAGGCACAATCTCAGAGAAAGGGGAAAGATGTAAGCAATGGGGCAGGAAGGGCAGCGATTAGGGAATCCAGGATATGAGGCATTCCAGCCACCTTGCCTTCCTGTTGGAAGCAGTGCAGGCAGACAGCCAAAATCCACTGTCTAGTTGACTTGCAAGATGGGAGAAGTAAGAACTGAGAATCAATCCTGAGTTCCTCCCACTCTCCACAGCACAGTCATAATCCTTCAAACTGGGTTAAGTTCTTCTAGGAGCCCTGGAAGGCTTTTGTTCCCGGTACATCATCCTCCAGGTGCCATACATTAAGAATTGTCCTTGCAAAAATTATCGGGCCTTGTGCTTTCATCAAAAGTACAATGCTTGTCCAGATGCATCCATACACTCACCATCCCAGATGTTGTGCAACTATTTTTCAGAGTAACAACTGCCTTGAAAATGGAGAAGCGCTTTCTGCCAGGATTGGGGGTGCTATTGTCGGGAAATAAGCCAGACGTACATACTCAGGATGTAACACGAGTGAGATGGTGTAACTTGGTGTCCTGCACTAGCAGGAGGTTGGACCTGATGGCCTTCTAGGTCCCTCCAACTCTACTGTTCTGCGAGTCCTCTCTTTGCAGGTGCAAGAAGCCTTATGAGGTCCCATTCATGGAAGTGAGTCAGGGCCTAAATTGGAAGCCCTTAACCCGTTCATGCCGAGGGAATTTGTATGCTCTTACCTGAAGTGACACTCTGCACAACACCTTCTTTGGTTTTGGCCCCTGTAAAAATGAAAATAAATAGTCTACCAGGTTTGATGGCATAGAGGTTAACAACAACAGCAGCACCATCTATTTGCATCCATGGTATCATGACAGTGTATCAGAGGCACAGAGATGAGCAGAGCAGAGCAAACCAAAACATCTCGCATCCAAGAAAAGGTGGCCCTTTAGATAAGTGGCATCTTTGGCATCCCACTCAAACACACAAAACCAAACAAAGCCAAAAATAGCATTTTCAAATGCATCTTTCGCTTTGCTTAGAAGGGGGAAAGGAAGGGCAAGTCTGTTTTTCCAGGAGCGAAACGTAGAGAGCAAACCAGAATCCTCCAGCTTTGGAACATCCATCTGACTTCCAGAAATAGGGGCATGCTCAGACCCCACAGGCTTTCCATGAGCTGCCGACACGCGCCGTGAGTGTGGGCCAGTGCAAATGGCGGGATGCGCGGGTGGCCGCACGTGAAACCTGAGCAGTGGGGCGTGTGGGGAAATGGCCAATGGCCCATGTGTGTTTCAGTGTCTCCTGGAGGAGGCGCTTGTCCTTTGGACTGGCAGAAAGCAGCAGGATCTTCTACCTGAAATGGCATAATTTAGGAAAAAGAAGGCAGTAAATAATGGGACCAGGACTGAACTGCAGGAGCAGCCAGAGGCCACGCTGTAGCTAGACAGGATGCATAAGGCTCAAATTCGTGGAGCCATACTCCTTACTGTGGCCAGTTATGCGTTGCCAAAAAGGAGGGTGGAAAAGGCACCAGATTTGCGCCTGCCCGTGCACACAGGCCAATAAAAATGCCTTTAGAATTAGTATAAAGTAAATCGAAATCTATTACATCTTCCCACAGTGAGGAAGTGTGTTGCCAATGACCTGCATTTCTGATCTTCTTCTATCCAGGTGGACGGACAGTTTCAACTCCCAGCATCCCTTCTGATGGTTCTTGAAGCAGATTTGGAGCAGAGAGCCCGTCAAACGGAGATGGTTATGCCTGAAAGCCCTTCTAACATCAAGTTGCCCCAGGTCCCATGGCCACCCTCAGACTAGTTCTGAATCCTGCGGAGGGGCAGGGCCAGGCTCAGACTTGCGTTTCTCAAGCAGCCGCTCCTCAGAGACGCCGCCAGTGGAGCTGAGTTTCACATCGGGGGCCTGGTTCACATGACTGCAGGTGGCCAAAAAGCCCCAGCGGCAGCAGCCAGGGTTGCTGGTGCGCATGCCAGGCACATGAGTGAACTTACCATGGGCAGCACGGGTTGTTGCACTGGGCTGAGCCTGCCAGGCAACAAGCCAGCCAGAACCTCCCAACAACCCCGGTCTCCGGGTGACTTCTTCCCCATGCGTGTTCAGTCACACCACACAGCAAGCTGCATTGCCAAGGATGACGCATGCGGGGGTGAGGGGAGCTCCCAGCGGCTACTAGCCTTGCTGGTTATGCGCTACCTCCCTTGCCAGGGGTGGCATGTCTGCGCAGCCCAGTTCCCGAGGAGCTTGTGGGGGAGCGAGGTCTTGCGCCCGTCCTGCTTGAGGGATCCCGCAGCAGCTGGTTTGCCATCGTGTGTATGGAGCACTGGACCGGATGGGCCTTGACCCAGCATGGTTTTTCTTACGTTCTTAATTATGTGCGCACACCCTTGGTTTGCAACCAGCGAATATGGCAGGGGAAATAAGCCATGAGCTATTTCCCCAACCGTGATCATGCAGCCTGGGCCAGAGCAAGGTGTGCCATGAGCAAGAACAGTTTTCAAATATGTTCTACTGAGCAGGTGCCTTGAATCCATCCCTGGATCCCACCCCCCATTTTTTGTTATTGCCATACAGCTGGATTTTCCAGAGTTCCAAAGATGCATGGACCTGATGGACAGAGGCTCGTATCTCTTGCAAATACAGTATGTGCGTTTCCTGGACAGGAAGGCAGCTGAAATGAGAGATCTCCCGTTTATCCATAGACTACATATAAGGGGCTTTCAGATTGCATGGAAGGGATATAGCCCCAATTGAACCAGTGTAGAAACAGAAGATATTCAGGCGTGGAATATTTTCTGGTTAACTGGGACTGGTGGAAAAGTCAACCATGTGCATTTGCTGAGAAGGCAGTTAGTACACATCCGTGAGCAGGTGTAGTAAATCATACCTATCTGTGATGACCCAAGATGTACCGTGCCTCTAACTCGCCTTTTGTTTTGACACAAGATGAAGTCTGTGCCTGTTGTAAATCAACATCGACACAAGCGGATTAGGTAAGTGTTTGCCACCTGGTGCATCGTGATGGTTGCGGTTTACATTCTGTATTAAATGGATGGGTTGCTACTTCCCTCTTTATGACCGAGGAATGCTCCATGAGCACACAGCTTTTCTATGTCAGGAAAGACACCTGATGTTTCCAAGGGAAGCTCTGACAGCGTCAGTCCTCTCTTCTGCAATCGCTGGTGTTGGTTAAACCTACTTCTTCAGAAGAGCTCAAGCACAGAGGAAAGTCCCTTTTCTCCAACTTAAGAATATGGAGTGCATTGCTTATGCCACCCACAACATAGCCCAATACAGAACAAGCAACTGCCTAATAGAGAGTTTTTCTGCTACAGATTGGCTCGATTTTCTGTTTTAACAAAGGCTTAGAGGAGCACCTCATTCTAATGCATGTCAGGACTGGAGGGGACGCATTTCTCAGCATTTATCACACCAAAGTCATCTTGCCCTTTTTCTTTTTTCTGGAAGCTGAACCTCAAAGTAAAAAATTTGGCCAGGGCATCTCTCTGGCTTGTTGACAAGAAGAGTGGACTCATGATGTTGCTTCAAAACAGCTGATGAGGCGAAGTTGTCATGGGTGCTTCGCACTGGCTGGTTCCCAGGAAACTAAATCCCTCGCCACACCTTTGGAAGGTAAAGAGAGAGACACTGCAGGAATAACAAAGAGGCAGGCAAGCCAAGTCCTTGCCTGTCTGACGGATGGCTTGAAAACCTTGTTTGAACTTGGACACATCCTCAGATCCTGTTTGAGGGGGCAGCAAAGTTAACTTGGGCATTCACCACACTTAACCTTCAGCCACCACAGAAAATTAAGCCGTGGATTATGGCCAGATAAGCAGTGGTCTATGTAGCTCTCTGCAGTGCCCAGACAGAGGCAATACACAGGTCAGTAACAGAGCGACAAGCTATCAGGAAAGCCACTGACTGCACTGTCCTATGAATAGCTCTGTCTTAAATCAAGGTTACTCTAAATAACACCAAGCCTTATTTTTTAAAACAGAAGCCTGTTTTAAGCTCCTTTTAACCTTACAGCTGCTCATGAAAACAAAATGTTCCCTTTTAAAACTGTTCTGCGTTTGCAAACCACATGTCCTCTGCTGAGGAGTTACCGCTTTTTTTCCTGGCCTCTACCTTTAACAGCACCGAAATCACTCAAATGACGATTTTCCTTGCACTTTTCTCTATCCCAGAAAGAGCTTACCTGCTAATTAATGTTCATGTGTCAGAACCACTATTAAAAACACAGGATCTGGGCCACTAAAGAAAAACTAATCAAAGGAACAAACTAGTTTAATTAGCAAAAGCATGGCAGAGGCTGAGAAATGAAGTTAATTGCGACTATCTCTTGTACGTTCTATAAACAGGGTTGTCACACTTTTAATTTTTGCTGCCTCAGCCCTGTGCCCTTAGCACCTGACACATGGACATTGGACACCACTTAAACGTTTACGATATGGTCAGTGTTATATAAGACTATCAAATAATTAAATACTGAGAGCAACGTAGAAGCCGGAGCTGTTGCTGCAGCGCCAAGGAGAGATGTGACTGCTGCACTTTCTGTGTCAGGAAGCTGCAGGCATTGCAAGCTTCTGCGTGTCGCACACCCTTTACTGCACTGCTGTGCCTCTGACAGGACATATGCATGTCTGAACAGGTGTAGTGGGAACAGGCACAGCCCCCCTTGCTGCTGCGGAAGGCTCAGGGGCGGGGTGGGGAGACATGACTCTAGCAATAAACACGTGCACCTAATTTCTGAGCTGACAGGCAGAGAAGGGCAAAGCAAAAGACACGAGGAGGAAGCCGCTGGGGTACGGCCGGCCGGCCAGGGCTTCTGCAGTCATTCAGGGCCGCGCCCGGTGACTCAGCCTCCAGGTTTGCCTTATGCAGAGCGTGAAATCCAACTTGTCAGCAAAGGGCGGCTGTTGCAGAATAAAACCAAAGGGATTGTGGCAGGTTAACCATTGCTCGTCGCTTGCTGTCTAAGGTTGCGAGTTCAGCCTGTCCTAACCACAACGTGGCAACAGAAAGCAAGCTCAGCGTTCTTTCCACTAGCAGAGGACTTTTTGGGTAAGAAGGCAAGCAAAATCCTGCCAGCTCTTCAGGCAGCTGGCAGGGCTCCCAGTCCCCTACTGGAGCTCACTGGGCAGCCAGGTCTGGGAGCTGTCCCCCACGCCCATTTCCCAGTGTGCATCTGATCTGACATTGCTCCGGAGAACTGTGGGAAATTAAAATGGTGGCCCCAAGACACTGGGTGCTCAGCTGGCAGTGCCACCGTCCTGTCAGCTCCTTGGGCCTCACGGTTTGGGAGGAGAGGCTGCGAAAGGCACTTTGCTGAGGTCCCCGGCTGCCCCCCAGAGTTGGCGCCAGCCCAGAAGCGATGGATGACTAGGAAACGTGGCTATCTGCTTTCTGAGGTGGCATTTCTCCTGACCTCCTGCACTGGGTTGTTCCAAAATCGGAGACATCTGGCCCTCCGCCCATGCACCACCCTCCATCTTGCGATCCAAGTCATGCGTTATGCTTGCTCTTCATATCCAGCACAGCCTTCTGTCTACCGTGCAGTCTGTTCTCTCAGGTTCCAGCAGGGGTGGGCCAGTGGCCCATGTGCCCTCTGGGGATGTGGACCTGATTTTATGCAGGCAGGTAGTGGGCACCTCTGCAAACGGCTGGCTCTGACTTGTGTCAAGGAGAGACACAGGTGGGGCCTGGACGCGAAAGGGACAGAATGGTGGAAGGGGAACCTGCGGCAAGGAGGCAGTTGAGACCT